ATATATATATATATATATATATATATATATATATATTATATATATATATATATATACATATACACCCTAATATATATATATATATATATATATATATATATATATATATATATATATATATATATATATATATATATATATATATATATATATACCCTAATATATATATATATATATATATATATATATATATATATATATATATATATATATATATATATATATATATATATATATATATATATATATATATATATTAGGGTGTCCCAAAAAAAAAAAACATTTTTGAAAATAATCTGCACTCCCCCTCTAAATGTGTTCTATCTAATGCAAAAACACTAGGCTTAAATTTTTTTTGAATAAAAAATATTTTTAGGGGTTCCTCAAGACCCTTGAATATTTAATGGGTCACTAATATTTTCAAAAAAAAAGTTTTTCAAAAATATGTTAACCTGGTACTCAAATGAAGCGAAATTATATAAAAATTTGAAAAAAATTATTCATTTCGAAATAAAATTGTTTTTTTTTGGAATTATTACATAAAAAATTGCGTTTTTTAAGAAAAAATAAAAAAAATGCATTTTTTAATATTTTTTTATGATAATCTTAATAGATAAGTTGAAAATATTTCAAAATGAATATTATTTAGGGGGTGAGAGCAGATGTATAAGTACTATATATATATATATATATATATATATATATATATATATATATATATATATATATATATATATATATATATTTCATTTATGCAAGCTCTGGTACAAGGTGTATTAATTTTGGATATACTGGCTTGATCCATTTGTTGCTGTATTTTAAATGCAGCAATAGCATTATTCCAAATATACACTTTATGGTACTGCATGTGAAATGTCATAGACTTCTGGCCTTTTAGGTACTCAAGGAGCTGGTCATTTCTATCAAAATTAGAACCAATTAAAGTATTCATTCCACAATCAACAAGAACTGTTTTTCTTGTTGTTAAAAGTTTAATACGAATAAAATATAATTGTGACATTTGAAAAAAGTATTAGGTAGTATAAATCGTTATAAGAAATATTTAACAATAATGAAACGTATTAACTGCAAAAGCCAGACGAAATATTGTTTAAGAAAAACTTTATTTGGTATAACGTGATGAAACACTTATAGTGCTTAAAACTTAGTTTTAAAATACTAAAAGAAAATTTAGTTTTAAAATTCTTGCAAATAAAATATTAGGTAATTATTTTCCATAACAGGGTTTATAAAAACAAAAATAAAATAAATAAAATTATATTTAAAAAAATATATAAATAAAAATTATAACAAATTAATACTCTTAAATTTTTTTACATACCACAATTATAAAAACCTAAATTTAATTAAATGTAATTTATTTTAGAACAACTAAACAAAAATTAAAACTAAGACTTATCAATATTTTATTGAAATTTTTTTTTCTGTAGATAGTAAAATGCAGTAACAAAGCAACAAAAGTTTTTATCCTTTTACCTTGAATAACTTTTTTTGTAGATGTGGAGTCGGTGGGGACTTTTTATAATTTATTTTTAAAAATGCCCCTAATGTCTGTACTAATTTTCAGCTTTATACGAATTAACAACTATTTTTTTAACTATTTTGACCCGACTATAACACAATATTTACAAAAATAGACTGTAGCAGATCTAAATTTAGACTACAATAATCATAAGATGTCACAGATAAAGTTCACGAGTGACTGATATGCATTGCAAATACAGTAATACCAGTTATGCTTGAGATTATTTTGCATATATCTGGTGCATCATACATGTGTTGCAACTTTTTAAAATGATACCACCTAATAAGCAACCTCTTTTCTGCACATAACTAAGAGTGCTAGTAAATTAGTATTATTTTATTTTAAAAACTGCAATTTAACATGTCTTGCTTATAGGGAATGCCCAGAGGAGTTTTATCGACTCAATATTACTATTGAGTCAATAAAAATTTTGTCAGTAAAACTTACATGACAAAAACTCCTGAAAAAAAGTATGCTTCACAGATAAGATTTTAAAACTTAGATTTCAAAATGCATGCAGTGCCTCCCTAACTTTAGTAAACTATTCATAGAAATTACAAATAAATTGCTAATGATGCAAATTGCAAATTAATTACTTTAGATGCAAATTGCAAATTAAATTAAAAATTCAAAAACTTAAAGAAATGATTTCAGACTTAATATAGTATAAAGTCTAACTTATTAAACATTTCTGTTAGTGGGCAAATAATCAAGCCTTCCCGGAAATTAAAATGTATTTAAATTTTAAAAAATTTATAATTTACGTAATATGTGTTTTTTGTTTTTTTCTCTTTAGAGTGGTTGTCAATTTCAGCACAAAATTATATAAGGCAAAGCAAAAAGGATACCCACCCTTTGCTTATTGGGACAAAACGTTTACTTCATGCACAGAATATCCATGGTTTGAATCTAAACACTTATATTTAAAATGTAATAATGATAAATTTCAAATGAAAGTGAAAAGTTTAGAAGTTATGAAACTAATAAATGATTTCTTAAAATATAAAAAAATCAATTGATAGTTATTATTGTTGTACAATTTTTTTATCGAAATAATAATTTGAAAAAAAAAATGTGTTGAAAATTATTTTTAAAATGCGAAAAAGGAACTTAGTTAAATAAATGCTAAGATAATCATTATAAATATTTTATTGAAATTATTACTAATATATTAAGTTTTGTTTAAAATAAAAACTTGTTTAAAATGACTTTTAGATTTAAAAAATTAAAAAATTTTAAAGTGTTTAATTTCTGTTCTAAAGAAAATATGCGCGCTTCTTTCAAACAACATAAGTTATACTAGAGATATTAAAGAGTATTTCTTTTGTTGTTTAAAACTAACTTCATACTCTGAAACACTTTTTGTAGTAATAACTTTTACAGCATGGAAATCTGAAATTTTGATTCAAAAAATATATTGGGTCTTATTCCAAATTACACATGTCTTTGAAAACAATACTACAAATACTGGAACTCTTAAAGGTGTACATGAATGAAGATCACATCATCAAGAAAATTTTTTGCTTATGTTAAAAAAAATTTGTTTGTTTACATTACTATGTAAACAGTACTATGTTACTGTATGTTTACATTTTCATGTAAATATGTATTATAATTCAAAGTCTGAAAAAATAAAAAAATAAATATAAAATAAACTGGGACAATAAAACTATAAAAATAACATAATTTTTATAATTTTTTTTTTTTTGAAAAGCTATTTATCTTTATCTTACTTTACTACTTTACAGGGTTGCAAAAAAAACGTTTTTTTTGAAAAAACAAAAATCATAGGTTTTTTTTTTTTTAAAAAAAACCATGGTTTTTTGGTTTAAATTAGGTTTTTACTAAAAAATGCGGTATAGTTATCCTTTTAAATTAACAAAAGCATAACACATTTTATTTGAGTAAACTATATTCGTTATCAATATTATTGTTATATTTCATCAAAACTATTTAATATATCATTGTTTGATGTTCTATATATAAATACAAGCTTTGCTGCTTTTTCTACCCCCAAACGGTTTCTTAACTTAGAATGAACAAGACCAAAAGTTGAAAAAATTCTTTTGATTTCAGCACTAGAAGCTGGTGCATTTAATAAACATTCAATTTCCATTATGTTATAGTAGATTTGGCTTTTAATTTGAATAATAACAAATTCTTGAACTCTTTAACTGCAAAATTCATGACAGCTTCATTTTCATTTTCAGAAAGATTAGATCCAAAATATCTAGGATCTAGTGTGTTTTCTAGAGCATTACTGACAGTCTGAAGGTATCTAGATTTAACTTTTTTTTTGTTTGTTTGATAAAAATGATAAACTGTTCATCAAATCTTAAAAATTTCAAGAGTCACTTATTTTTGTTTGATCTCTTTGTAACTTATCTGGAGCTACTGCAATTGGTTTCAATATTTTCAATAAATCTTCTGTGTTTCGCTTTATCTGTATGTAAGTATTTATTTTTTTCAAACATTGTAAAAATAATGCTCCAGTTGTTGACATATTTTTCAAGTGAATCACATACAGAATTCCGGCGAGTTTCAGTAGGAAGTGGCAATTTTGTTATTTTGCTTAATTTATAAATTGCTCCAGCTTGATGATTATTTCTTATATATTTTATTATTTGTGTAACATGCTTGCTCAAATTTTCAATGTTAAGATCATTTGCAAAAAGATTCAGCATACGAGCAGCACACCCATAAGTTATGATAATATCTCTTTCAGATGATAATACTTGTCTCATTGATTTCATATTAGCTGCATTGTCAGTCACCAAGCTTTTTACTGTGCATCCAAATTTATGTCTTAAAAAATCTATTGCTTCTCTTGCTAATTGTGTAAGATATTCACCAGTATATGAATGACCAGAAGTGTTGATTGTTTCTACTAAAATTTTATTTTATCTGTAATTACAGAGATACAAACTATAGATTCATTATGAAAATTACTGCAGCCATCTAAAGACATGGCTACAATTTTCCCATTCAATACATTACATTTTTCAATTTCTTCTGTGTAAACCCTATCTAATATTTCTCCTCCAATTTCAGTTCTATTAGGTAGAGTGTATTCTGGATGAAGCATATTGATAACTTTAAAAAAAAAAAAATCATGGATTTAAAAATAAAGATATTGAAGATTAGTTATATTTGTGAGCATAACCCTGTCTTAGTTTCCTGTTTTAAGTTCAAATCTTTTTAAAAAAACATTAGTTTAGTTTAAAGCAACATTTTTTTATTTTTTTCAACCATGGTTTAAACCATTTGGTTAAAACCATGCAACCCTGCTACTTTATCTTATATTACGCATTATCAAAGTTTCAAATTTAAAAATATCAAAACATGCAAAGACAATGGCCAAGTTATCAAAACAAAACAATATATATGGGGTCAGGCAAAGCGTGCATCTGCATGAACCTCCTGTAAAAAAAAATATAATAAATATAATACTTACTAGAAAAATGATTTGCCAAGTCATTCCTTCCAATTTTATTAAGTACCTCAACAAAATCATCATAGTTATCAATCCCTAGAAGCATACGATGTTCTAAAGTTTGAATTAATTCAATAGGAGTTTTAATTCTTTCAAGCTGACCATGGCCAATTTGATGTGAATAATAAAATTTAATTGCTTCAACATCTTTACCCAACAGATTATCTGCAATCTTCAGCAAAATATCTTTATGTTTCTTATTATCCATTTTTTCAAAATACTAATCTAAAATTTTACCCAACATTTTATATATTTTCCGTAATTATATATAATAATACTATTAACATAATTATTCATAATTATATAATAATACTATTAACAACAATATATATAAATAAAAAAAATAACCAAAATTTAAAATAAAAATAACTCAACTAAAACTAAACGTTTTTATAATTTAATATTATCCAAAAAGCTTTCTAAAAAAAGTAACAACTTACATCTAACGATTGTTTAACAAATACACACATTCAAAAGTTAAAAAAAAGATTCTTAGCAACACTTCACAGTAACATAAACCAAAAGAAAAAATAATTAAACCATTTATTTAAAAAGTAATAAATTTATTTTTTTATTTAAAGACATACACACAAAAAAGTATTTAATTTATTTTTTTGTAAAAAAAATACACACACAAAATCTTAAGGTGGTTAGCTGGTAAAAAAACTATTTTTTTTAAATATTTGTTGTTTGAAACTGAAATAACAAGCATCATAAAAATAAATATTTCAAACAAAAAAAAAATTAAAAAAGTTAATTATTTTTTGATGAGTCAGCAAAAATTCAAAAAATTAACTAAAAAGCAAAACATGATTATTTGAAGATCTACAACTGGTATCAGTATGAAATTTGCTACAGTAAGACAATGTATGCTTAACTAGTGCCTAAAGCAAAAGTTTTCAAAACTGATTAACTGTTTAAAAATGGCGGAGATTCTTTTAATTTTTATTTTTTTCGATAAATAGTTCAGTTATTAGTGATTGATATCTCATTAAGTCTTTAAGTATATAGCTTTATTCTGCTTTAGGCACTAGTACAGTATATTTTAAACAAGTGTTGAAAATTTCAAGATAAAAACTCTACTAGATCTTTAGAAATCTATGTTTTCGTTAACCCACAAAAAGAATTCTGGAAACCAAGAAAACAAAATATAAAGTAAAAAAATTTCAAAAATTTCCAAGTTTGTATGATTCCTCTACTTCTAGTTCTTTTTCTTTGTCCAAATAACCTTTTCTGACAGCTTTAATCAACTTTCTTCTATTTATTCCCTATTTTGTTGATTTTTTGTTCATATTTTGAATCCGTTGAGTGTCTTTTTTGATTGAACCGATTATTGTTTTTGCTCCAAAAGATATTCCAATCTTATCAAAAAGTTGCACTAGTCCAGATATACCATCATTAAAATTTATTATTGCAGATGCAACTCCAATTTCTAAAGTGGTTTTTGAAATAAATGTATCTTTTGAACACCTTTTCCACACAATTTGATTCAGAGCCTCATTTGGGTTTTGAGTAGATCCATCTAAACAGCGACTCAAAAGATCATCATTACATAAATCCTTAAAAATAGGATAAATTGCTGTTTTTACTGTAACTGGTAAACTAACTGATGGCTTGTACTGCATAACATTTTTCCAATAATTACACCAACTATCATCAGTGCGGGGACAAAACTGGTGAAGTATTTCAGGATCTTCAATACCTGTACAGTGCCACAACACTGCCAGCACTCCTTTTTTCATCATGTACAAAGCAGTACTTTTGTTACCATTCCAACAAGCTACAGAATTTTGGCGAATAGCCATGCCAAAATAGTTTTGCATTTTATTGACCATTTTATCAGTTAATCTTCCTTTACCACTCAGTCCTTTGCCATCTGATAAGGTTTTACCTTTCATGCTAACACAAAGTTTGCGGAGTCATGTACCGAGTCTCTTTTGAACATGACCCACACATTCAGATTTTATTGGTTCTAAATCTTCACCATATGGCTTTGATTCTTTTACTTTTTTAAAAGATTCAGTATCACCATCACCAATGTAATGGGAGTAGCGAATACAATATTTTTCGACAGATGAAGAAAATATTTCTATCGCACCAGCAGATTCCATTGCTCCTGAACTTTGGGCATGGTTCAACTTACATTTATGTGTTTTGAGCCATTTATCGTGTTCAGTAGTTCCTTTTCGATTTTCCCAATTTAAACATCCTTTACAAAACTTTGAAAAAACCCTGTAATCAATTACTTTTTTGTTTTCTGTTGAAATAGCAGTAACAATGCCATTAAGTGAACAATGGCCACGCTTTTGCCACGAACCATCTAAACTTATTCGACAATCAACAATGTCAGTTTTGATATTATCAGGTTTTAATGTACACCTTAAATCTTTAACTGCATTCTCCATACTAGTAACAGCACAGCCAATATAAAAAGGTAAAAGAAATGTATTAATATCATCATATGATGAATAAACTATTGGTGCAGGCATATTCATAATGGTTGCAAAAGTATTTAGTGCTTCATGTCCTTTTCCCAGTTCACGAAACGCAATTACTGATCTTACATTTAATTCAGATGATTTTTTACCACGATTATCTTTTCCTGGAAGTTGAATGTCAGGAGAAGAAAAACATTTATGAATCCAGCTACAGTTAGGACAAGTAAATTGAAACTGAATGTTAAATCCTTTTTTTTCGGAATCTTTATGACAAACATTTATATCTCTGCTGTTGCAAGTGGGACATGCACAAACTTTACTCAATAGCTCCTTGAATTTGTTAAAGTTAAAAAGAAAAAAGAAGTCATCAGGGTCAGAATTAATAACTGAGAGTTTGTTTATTGATTCATTCAATTTTGAAGAACTAGTAGATGGATTAGATTCTCCTTCGGTAAAAAACAAACCTTGACAAGGTTCATTATTGATATTTGATTCTGCTGAAAGAATATTATTCTTTAAGGTTGTATATTGATTTTTTGAATTAATTCTTCTTCTTCTATTCCTGACTACGTTCCTTTTATTTGCCATTCAAAATAAGAGCAATAAAATAAAAAAGCGTTGTAAAGAAAACTGTGTAAAGCACTGCTAAATTTTATATCTGAATGCCTCTGTAAAACTGTTCTTTTAATCTATAACTTTTGAGAGTCTCCACCACACTGCTTTTTAAAAGCAGAAAAAAAGGACATACAGGCTTGTAGTCATCTTATGTAAATATAAATATAGTAATAAAGAAAGATTGTCGATTTCAATTATTTTGTGCCGCAAAATTTTCTGTATTAAAATTTTTACCATGACCTAAAAAAACTGGTTTTTAATTAAAAAAAACAAACAAAAAAAGCACTATACCCATATATATTTTTGAAATCTATGATAAATTTTAGATACAAATCAATAAAATAAAAAAAAAAACGAATTTTTATGTTTTTTTTACCAGCTTACCACCTTAACTTAACTATAAAGAAGCTTAAAAGAAACTTATCGTAGAAGAAGCAAAAAAGTCTTCGTAAAAAAAATAACCAAAAATTTATATTAATATATATTATATAAATATAAAAAAAATATTATTATTCATTAATATTTTATTATTCATTATAATATTAAATGTACCTCAATAATATAAAAACTTATATAAAGATCAAAGTCATTTAATTCAAACAGGTTTTAAAAAGTTTGTCTTTTTTTTTTTTCAATAAAATCTTCCTACTTTTTAAGTTAATTAACTTTCATGATTCTTATATAAAGTTTTTATTAGAGACCGCTGTTTTAAGTCACTGCTTATAAAATTTATTTTTTTTTTAATAGTTTTTACTTTTTAAAATTTACTTATAAAAAAATCTTATATAATTAAATAATATAAATAAGAAATTATACATTTTTCAATGATACATTAATTAAAATTATTAGTTACTTTATTTAAAAGTGTTTTGCTAATATAAAAAGTAAAGATAAACGTGCATAATTTACAATAGATAATGAACATAACGATTGCACTGTTTAAGAAAGTATATTTAAAAACTTAAAAAAAGGCTCCTAAAAATTTTGTTAAGAAAGCACAGTAAATTAACAGTGCACTAGCCCAAAAAATTTTGCACAACAAAAAATTTTGCTTGGCTTGCATTAAGCAGCTCATTTTTTTAACAGCTGTTATATTATTTCGATAGGATTTAATATGTTCTAAAAGTTATACTATGGTGAGAAATAAATCAAAAACTCATTTTCGACAAATGGAGATAACAAGATTTTTTTAAGGTCGACAATTTTTAAATTCTGGTTACATAGAAAGATTTTATTTTTTTTTATAAACCTCACTTCCTGTTTATTAGGCACGCAAGAGTACACAGTTAACAATTTAACTTACAGAACTGCAACAATAACATTTAAGTATTTAACAGCTTGGGTATACAAAAAAACATATATTTTAAAGAGTTCATGAGTGCATTTTATTTTATTTCTTCCAATTTTTGAAATTTGAGTTAAATCTCCTCTATGATGAAAGAATGATTAGAAGTACACACCCAATCTTGTGCACAGATTAAAGCTTCCATCATTCTTGGAGTCAAAGAAGTACAGAAGGAGTCAAGGACACAATTTCTTGTATTACAGGCAGACTCTGAAGCAACAGTAGACACAGGAATGGCAAGAATAATTTTAAGCTATCTTATCAGACCTTGTTATGAGATTTTGTTGCGTAACAGAAAAGCGCAGAAAGAATAAATGTAACCTTACTCAATAAAGATATTTACATCATTAAAAAATTAATTGTGTCAGTTGCGTATTTTAAAATACTTCTTTGTAATTAAATTTTAAACCATATTAAAAAATTTTTTTTTTCTTTAAATTTGTTTTATTGTTATTTTTTTTAAATCATGGGACTCTTGTTTATCGTTGATTTTCTTAAGGGGATTTAAACTTGCTACAAAATTAGATTGGAATTTCCTCTTTATAAAAAAAAGTTTGCGCTAACTGGCTTTTGATAAAATAAAAATTGTAATTAAACAAAGATTACTGCTTTACAGCTTTGTTTTTTTTTTTATTTTCATTAAAATATATTATTTTATGTACTATGAAACCTAATGTATTTTTACTATTTCTTACTAAATCCAAAAAAAAAAAAAAAAAGTATTTTTAGTGTTAAGCTGTTATTAGCAGAACTTGTTTTTAAAAAATATCAGTATAATTTCAAAATTTGCGTATCTTTTATTTATAGCACTAGTATTAGTTTTGTTT